AGATCACTATAAGTAAGATCGAGTACTGAAACCCTGAACACCCTGGAGACCCTTCCCTAAAATACAAAAAAATAAATAAGTAAGTAAAATGAAATAAAAAGGGCTGGCTATGTAGCTCAGTGGAATACCTGCCTTGAATGTGTGAGAGACTGGGTTAGCCCCTTGTAGCACATGTGCACACACACACACACACACACACACACACACACTTTAGACCTTATGCTTGCCAGGCAGGTGCTTATGCTGCTGAGCTATATCTCCATCCCAAATTACCAAAGAACAAGAGTTGGTGTTGCTCAAAAATGTGGTACTACAAACAGCTTGATATCTGTTCTATTTTGAAATCAGTCTTCTTAGTACATCCTTCTCTCCTCTGCCTCTGCTTCCCTTGCTGCTCCTGGATCCCTTCCCTGCCCTGAAAGGCAGAAGTCACTGTAGTTCTGGTGCAGTGATACAAAGCATGAAAAACATGAGGATATATTCTTGTTGTGTTTAGTTCAGATTCTTAAATTATTAATTTACTTTTACTTTTTAATTAAAAGTGTTTTTGTGTTTTTCCACAATGTCTGAGTTCAAGTGGCTGCAGCACTTATGTTCTTGAAAGCTGAAATTTATTTAGAGCTTAAAATGGAAAGTTCTATTCTAAGAGCCTTGTGACAATATTATGTCCTCATTTCAAAGATGAGACAACTGAAGTCACTAATTCAGTACAATATGTTGGAAAATGAGACTCAGTCCCAATTATAGCTTCAACAGTTCCACCATTACACTAGGTTACATGACCCGCAGGTGCAGGCAAGTCTCACCTTCATTTATTGACAATATATAGTATTTGACTATCTCTTGTCCTTGTTTTCCCAGGAAGGATAAAGACCTTGTAAATAGAAGACAAGAAGAGCTTCAATTTCAGCCTAGGTGAACAGATCAAAATCTCTCATTTATCTCATAAATGCCTATGCACTGCAGAATATAACTTATAAAAATTAATTCACCAAAGATATCATCTCTTGTCACCAGTTCCAGGAAAGAGACATCCTGCTTCTAGCCTGTGGATAACAGGGAAATAAGTTTTATTTTGGGTTACAAGCCTAACTGAACTTATTACTAAGGCACAGACTCTATCCAAACAATTTTCAACATAAAACTGCACTTCTTAAGCAACAAAAAATGTGTCTTTACCCCTTAGAATTGTTTCACATAACTTTTAGAAATAATTATTTCATTTGAGTAAGAGTTCTGTACTTCTAAGAGAATCAAGTGGAAAAATGATGTTCATTGCCACTTCTTGAATACCCAATAACATACCTGACATAGTACCCTTATATGGATCCATACTTGCCAAGAAACGAATCACTGTACAAATATATTTCCTTTGTTCTATAACATAATATAACTTTGGGGGTTAAATGCTCATAGAGATGTCTTCCACAGCCCAGAGTCATGCCTAGGTCTGTTTGACTCCAAACCCATTCTCACAAACATACAATGAGTCCCTCTATAATCCAGAAAGCAGCATTCTCACCTACATGGATCTGAGAATCTCTCCAAGAATAATAAATAAATATTCCATAAATTTACTAAAAAGAAATTATAAGAGCCAAAAGATTTTAACACAGAGATTATTGGACTTTATATTGGGACTGCAGATATTTCAATTCACTCCACCAATATATTGTTCTAGTCCCTGCTTCAAAAACAAAAAGAGGTCCCAATGGAACCTCAATCAAGCCAGCAAACAGGTCTGCTGTGAGGTACCAACCACTGCCCACCAAAAAAAACCCTCCAATAGACAGGTATCATGTGGAACCATGCTGTGAAACTACCAGTAGAGTCGCTTTGGCAAGACTCAGGCAAATACTCCAGGAGAAGAACATCTTGCCAGGGAGGAAAGCAAGTTCACTTCCACAGTCTTCTCTCTCTCTCTCTCTCTCTCTCTCTCTCTCTCTCTCTCTCTCTCTCTCCCTTCTCTCTCTTTTCTTTCTTAACTGACAGAAGGGACAACAGGTAACCAGGGTCAACTAGTCTACCTGAAAGACTTTAGGTACATCAAAGGAAGGTGAAAAGACAGAACTTAGGGGAACTAGACATATTCCCAAATTAATATCTGCTGAGCTATATACTCACAGTGCTTGCATTTCTGATCTAAAATACAAACTCATTACTTACAAAAGATGATCAACTGCTAAATCTCACTATCGAAGATTAGTGTTGCTAATTATAATACTGTAAGGACAAAACTGTGACTTACTTAACCACATAATCTCATTTTGGTAATAATGTCAGTAGGTGCGAAGGTAATAACTGCAGCAAAACTCTACAACAAACATCAGCGAGAAATGCTATACACAATGACAAAGAAGAGCAGCAAAATGCATCCTCAAGCATTGAACCCACCAAAAACAAATACAGAAGAGACTCACAGTGAAGAAATTGGAAGCCACAAAACAGAAATCTCTGAAATAATAGTGTCTGAAGTAAAGAAATAACTGCAGAAATGTATTTTAAAAATCAGATCAGAAATAATCATTGAAAAAAAGAAATAATCATTGAAGGTTAAAAAAAAGAATGATAATTACAATGAAAGAATTAGTGCTCCTAAAGAAGACACTGGAATAGAAAATAGAAGGGAATAGGAAAATGATGTATTCCTTGAATGAGCAATA